ATAAGAATATACCACTAGGTATATATGGCCATCTTGTGTTAAAGGCAGAGAAACTCCAGGCACAGAAAAGACATACAATCATGGGTAGAACTGGGAACAAGAATCGTATCTATTCTCCTGCTTCACAAATTTGTCCAGGCTGTTTCCCCACAGGAGTTTAAGTAAAATTATTATTCTTTAAAGGAGTTATTCATTACACCATAATAGCATAATGAATAACTAATACAGGGCTGCTCAAAAGGTCTCCTTTTTATCTCTTATTCACTGAGGGAATAAAGACAAAACTGCTAAGTTCTGAATTCTGTATTAAGAGCATATTACAAATAATAGATGAACTATGTGATTATACTTTTGAATTATTTAGAGCTCTAAAGCATTTCAGAGAAGTATTACATTATAATAGAAGATAAAAACGACTATGATATATACAAAATTAAATTGGAAGTCACATCTAGTAGTAAGTATCAGGAGGGGTGTGAAGAGAAGACACCAACTATTCTCCACCCATTTATGTATATAAGAAGTCTTCCCGGCCGGGCGTGGTGGCTCACGCCTGTAATCGCAGCACTTTGGGAGGCCGAGACGGGCGGATCACGAGGTCAGGAGATCGAGACCATCCTGGCTAACATGGTGAAACCCCGTCTCTACTAAAAATACAAAAAATTAGCCAGGCGTGGTGGCGGGCACCTGTAGTCCCAGCTACTTGGGAGGCTGAGGTGGGAGAATGGTGTGAACCTGGGAGGTAGAGCTTGCAGTGAGCCGAGACTGTGCCACTGCACTCCAGCCTGGGCAACAGAGCAAGACTCCATCTCAAAAAAAAAGAAGTCTTCCCTAAATTTTTCACAAGTGAAGGCTTTTAATTTTCCTTCAAGTTTTAAGATTACTGGCTGGAAAGAGGATGGAAAGAAGGGAAAGCCCTGCTGAGAAGGAGAGTCCCAGGTGCTGCACCAGGGAAAGACAATGGCAGCTGTTAACAGTAGTACTCTCCTTTGCCATGGCCTCATGACAGCAGTCAGCTGATTTTCTCTCTGCCATAGGAAACTGCTTGAATATCAGTTAGATAAGTATTAGGATCAACTGGTAGGATGTATCTCATATTTGGCCCTATTTCTTGGCTCTATTTTCACGTCTTAACCATGTACAAGCACAAATACAAGATGCCGGATTATAAATTTCTCATCATATATTGTTTAATAGTGCTTGAAAGCACTGGATAGCTTGAAATATTTTCTCACCAGTAAAGTCTTTCTTGGTTGGTGAGCAGTTGTCCATTTCAGAGCCACGTTTTAAAATGTCAGTATGCAAATGTTCCTTCTTTTCCGCAACTACTTCTACTTTTGTTCCAGTTTCTTCAGTTTCTAAAAAGGTATCCTCATACTTCTCATTGTGTTCTGCATCTCTGGCTGAACATAATTTGTTTATGATGCCGGAAGTTTTTTGTTCAAAACAAAAATTTGATCCTGAACTCAACGATCTGTCTTTCACAAGCCTCTTTTCTTCACTGGTCGCACTGAGGGTCTCACCACATGCTCCAGCATCAAAAATGCAGACAGTTCCGTCAAGCTGACTTTCTTGTGCAACAGGCTCACTTTCAGCATCTGCTTTATTACACACAGATTCTCTTTTGCTATCACTTTGAACAAAACCTGAATAGCTCTTCCTACATCTTTTTTTAGTTTTCTTAATTGGGATTCCTTTCAAAATAGTCACCTTTCCTTTGGGTTTTCTAACCTTTCTGAAGTTAACATCATCAACACCCTCATCTTCTTTCAAAAGCAAATGAGTGGAAGTAAAGTTAGAGAGTCCTCTGCTATCCGGCAACTCTGAACTACTACTTGGCGGCATAAACACATCCTTTTTGCACTTGCTTCGGGTCCTGAGGTTCTGGTTTGAATTGTTACTTTGGTTTTGTAGGTGGGATGTCAGGGCTGCCATGCTGGAGTCTTTATATCTTGACTTGGTATCCCTTTTAGAAAGTACAGTAAAATCAAAATCTTCTGGCTTAAGACAAGTCTCTCCATTTTTGTGAAGATAATTAGCAAGTGAACTTTTGGATCTGAACTTCAGTCCTTGTGGGCTAGAAAATGATATTAAAGGAAACTTACTGCTAGTAAATAGAAGGGACTTTTAAAAGAATTGGACCACATTTCAGATTTCTAATTAATTTCCAAATGTTGCCATAGGCATCTGTCATTTAAAAATGAAAAAGAGTGATAAATGGCACTTTTAAATGGTTTGTTTCCTCTATGACAATATAAAATAAATTTATAAATATAACTTAAATGCAACCTACCCATTAACCATTCACAGTAGGAGGGACAAAATGTATGTAATTTTCCCCAAATCACTTGATGTAATCAATAGCAACATTGAAAGAATAGAATCTGCAATCGTTTTATGATAAAAATATAAAGAAGCCAAGATTCCTGCTATGCTCCCACTATCTGACCAGACAAAATTATTTTGCTTTACTGTGTTTACCATCTTATATGCTTACCTGATAAAGTACACATCAAATCTTCCTGCTGTCTTCCCAAATAACCTTTGCTTCACAACTCTTTCCCATCCACACGGGACAGACTTATGGCATTCTGTCCCTGCAGTACCACCAAACTGAGCAGAAGCGATGGGTTCTAGTAGCAGGGGATTACATTCACTGCTTCTTTTTATCATCATTTGTTCCTCATCTTCTTCCACTCTTTCCAATTCCACAGCAACATCTTCTTTGCTGGAAAAACAAAGTCTAAGTGATTAACTCATTTAAAATTTATCTTCCACTGCCTACTCAGTTTTAATCCATGATAATGCGGGAACCACATAGATTATCATATTAAAATGGGGGAGACTAAAGTCAGTATGGACCAGCCTTGTGCTATGGGAGTATTTTCCTGTCTTCCAAAAGCTTCCCATACCCTCTAGCACAAGTTAAAAAGTGTTGGAAATCTCTGCACAACAAAAAGGTCAAGTTAGAAACTTTTCCGATTAATTACTGAGTAGGGCTACTGTAAAGATTTCTGGGGGCACTTAGCATAAATTTGAGAATATGAGCCAACAGCTGAGCTCTTAACCTGACCTCTTAAGCATCAGAAAATGCTTAAATAAATCAGTGAGTTATATTCTCTTCTCTGCCAATAAATGAGGTAAAAGTTTTACATAATGTAAAATTTCTGGGAGAGTGTATCACTTTCATCAGATGTAACCCTCCAGAAGGTAAATAATTTGATACAGAATTTTTGAATCTCCTTCATTCTTGATCCTCATGGTAACCTTGTAGGTACGATAAGATTAACTCTCAATTTATTGATAAAAAATTGAGTGACAGAAAGGTTAAATTACTTGCAGAACAGACACCTGAACCCAAGTCTACCAAATCTTGGTCTAATACTTCTCTCCCATACTATTATTGAAAAAAGTTGGCAAGGCAAGGTGGCTCATGCCTATAATACCAGCACTTTGGGAGGAGGAAGTGGGAAGATCACCTGACCCCAAGAGTTTGAGACCAGCCTGGGCAGCACAGTGAGATACCTGTCTTTATAAAAAATGAAAAAAAAAAAAAAAAAAAAAAAAAGCAGCCGGGCGTGATGGCGCATACCTGTGGTCCCAGCTACTAAGCAGGCTGGGGGCAGGAGTATTGCTTGAGCCCGGCAGGTCAAGGCTTCAGGGAGCTATGATTGTGCCACTGAACTCCAGCCTGGGTGACAGAGTGACATCCTATCTCAAAAAAACAAAAAACTAAACTAAACTAAAACTTCATTAATGTTCCAGTGTGTCTTCTATGATGAAAACATAATTTAAAAATTAAAAAAAGAAAAATTTCAGTAAAGTGTATCCTAATCACTAAACCACAGATTGTAAAAGCTGGATGGGTCTAGAGAGATCATTTAACCCAAGTTATTTTCTACAAATAGGGAAACTATGCAAGAACTAGAATTAGAATCAAGGTTTTCTGATGTAAGTTGGGGTAAAATAATTTTGCGGAGCTGGGCGGATCTTATGAAATGATACTGTTTACAATTTTAGAAATAAAGATACTGAAGCCTGGTGAAATCAGCACAAACTATTAAAGAGACTGGGGCTCAAATCCCAGCTCCGCCAGCTGTAAGTTTAGCAGCAAGTTACTTAACATCTCAAAGTCCCTGTAAAATACTTTTTGTAAAAAGAAGGTGATGCCTCTTTCAAAGTAGTTCTTAGGATTCAATTTCGAAAAAAGTAGGTAAATCTTAACCTCCTATCATACATGTACTCAAATAACTTCCTAGGATCCTCCAACTCAAGGGGACTTCTTGCACAAAACCTCCTGGCTCCCCCTCAAGTCTCCCTGGTCATCTTGGATGAGGAAGTCGGGCGCACCCCAGGACTGATCCCACAGGAAAAGCACCTGAGCTCCAGCCCCTAGTAACTAAACCCGTGGGCTTCGAGGTCTCTGCCGACCCTCTGTCCAAGGTTAGAAAGGCCCACACACCGTCCACTCTCCCGATCCCGTTTTACAGGCGGTGAAACTGAGGCCCAAAAGGGAACAGTAATTTACCGGAGGTCACTCGGCGGATCTGGGACTAGGCGCTCACTAGAGGTGACGGTGGGGGCAGCTCCGCGGTCCCCCAGGTTCAGACTCTCCGACCCAGTCGTGCCCATCGAGCAGGCTCCGGCTGCAGCAACGAGCCCAGCACTGCGAAGCCCTGGGTGTGGGGCGGAGTAAGATGTGAAACCTCAGCTCACGGAACCGGGCTGCAACCGAGGTCTGAATGTTGCGAAAGTGGCCCAGACGCCGCCGCTGCTTTTCGGCCGCCCCTGCTTTTCGGCCGCCCCCTCGGCTACAGCCGCCATTTCCACGCTCCACCAATCAAATCCATTGTCGAGGAAGGCGCACCGCCCCCACAAACCCCAACCAATCGCGCGCGCTCTGGTTGCGCTGATGCCTTAGGGGCTCCAGTTCCACCCTAGCTTTTGCTGCTTTTCTCGCTTTGCCTTTCGGACATGCGCACTCGGAGGAAGGCGACCTCGCGCTCAGCTTACCGCGCATGTACGTTGCCAGGGGTAACGCAGGTAGCCAAAGTGGCTTGTGGCGTGGCTACCGTTAGTGAGGCGGTTGCTGAGACAGACGCTGAGGCGGAGAGGAGGAGCCCGAGGCGTAAGGGAAGCCGCGATGAGGGCCGTGTTGACGTGGAGAGATAAAGCCGAGCACTGGTGAGAAGCCGGGCGGTCCGCGAAAAGCGGGAGGTCGAGTCCCAGCGGGGACTGCGCGAGCCGCTGCAGCGTGTTTGAGGGTGGCAGCGAGCTTGCTGCCTGGGCCGAGGGCACTGAACCCCGGCCTGGGAGACTGCAGGGTCACCCTCCCGCCCCTTGGCGGTTGGCGAAACTCCTGAGGGTTGGAGAGCGGCAAAGGGAGGTGCCGCGCCTGGAGGTAGTGCCGGTGGAGGCGGCTCTTCCCTCACGGTCTGGCCTTGTCGCTGCCTTGGGTTCGTCTCACACCCACGACACAGCACGAAGCTGCTCAAGCTTCGCAGTTCTTGCCACTTCCACATAGTACCCGTACTCTTGTTTACTTGACGTTTTTCTCTAAATTGTCTCATTTATTTTAATTATGATTTCACATTTTACAAGGAAACTTTATTACTCCATTTATGAAAACCAGTGTCACTTGCTCTAAGTGTTAAGATAAAATCAGCGTCACTTGCTCTAAGTGTAAAAGTAAAACTTAAAGTAGGGAGAAACAAAACTGAACAGGCTGTAGCTAGCTGTTGTTGCTAGGGAGCCTTTAAACCTGGTATCTCGTTTCTCTAAAATTGGAGATTGGCAGGTATGATCAGAGAGGTGCTCAAAATGAGCATCAAACACAAGCTCTCCTAATTGGGAAGTTTGAAAAAGAATTGAAGGTGAATAACTTTGTCACCTTTTGATTCAGTTATTTAATGTCCTATTCCATTGTTATTGGCTAAATCTATAATATAGTCTGTTTTGTCATACACTTATTTATGGGTTAGGTCTCGGCCTGACTTTGAAAATCATTCAGCATTGTTGTGAAGCCACTGTTCTGGCCACTGGAGCAGGTTACTTGTCTTTGGTTCAGTCCTTTCTGAGATCTTTCTCTGTGTGAAGCATGCCCTCTCTCCTCATCTCACACGGAAATCCTGCACATCCTTCAAGGCTCACGTTGGAGACGGGTCCTCTCTTTTGTGTTCGGCACTAGTGGTAGCTGACATTATGTGCCAGGTCTCGCTAAGCACTTCTTATCCTTCATCTCGTTGTCTCTGTTCACCACTTTCTGAGGTAGGTACTATAATTTCCTCTATTTTATGTATGAGGAAACTGAAGCACAGAGAGGGTGGGTAATTTGCCAAGGTAACACAGTGAGGGGTGGAGCCAGCTTTCAAGCTCAGGTCTTCCTCACTCCAACGTCAATGCTCTCAGCCCCTACATTAATTTTTCCTTATATTACAGAGGTGGCAAACTCAAATGTCTGCAGGAGATAGACAGGTAACATAAATGAGAGATGTCTATTTGCATCTTAAACACTAGGAATTGTATGTTTTCCTTAGGAATAGTCTTGTATTCTATACCCCATTTTTCTTGAAACACACAGCCCTATCAGTGAATCTTTCATTTGTACTTTTAATAGAGATTTGAGTTTTAAAAAATCATTTTATTTTTAACTGTATTATAAACGTACCTATATCACAAGCTGATGATAGGCAACTGAACATTTGGCTTCAATGTCAGAGAGTAACAGAGTGTGGCAAGGAGTGTGGCAAACTGCAGAGCTCATGCTTGTCCTAAAAGGGGCAGCTGCTGCTCAGCTCCTGCCAATTACCACCATGCAGGAATTTGGCCTAGTGTGCTCAGCTCTTCCTGTTTTCACCAGAAGCTAGGAATCTGGGTTTTTATGTGAAATGGCCTAATTTTTAAATGTTAGCATCTACTCTGAAAAAAAACAAAACAAAACACTGTGTGGGCCAAATAAAACATTTGCTGGCCAAATGCAGCCCGATTTGCTCTGTTTTCAACCCCTGGCACAGAATTTCGTTCATTTCTCTCTTGTGGTACTTCCAAAGTCTGTTGAGTGTAAGAGTTAATTTTTTAAATCTGTTTATTTCGGAAGTCTGATAAACCCGTTAAAGGCAATGGCTATGTCTTACTCATTTCCAAATTATTCTAGAGCCTAGTCAGGTCAGTGGTTGTTGTTACTATGGGTAGTAATAAAATACTAGATATATATAAAATGAAATGCTGTGGATAGATGTATTCATACATGAATGAATAAGTGAGTGAATGAATGATAAATAAAGATTGGTTGTCTGGTTTTTGGCCCATTACAGATTTGAAACAACCTATTAGGATAAGGGATGTAGGGTTCTATAGACCATCAATCCTGATGGCTGCTAGATGTACCACCAGCTGATGGCCCAGAATGAAAACAAAACAAAAAACTAAAAAAAAAAAAAAAAGGTAGTAGAACTAAAAAAATCCTAGATGTCAAAGATTAGTCCTCCACATCCAAATCAGCCGTCGTCTCCCAGTCTGCTCCTTTGCTTCTATTTTAACCTTCACATAGCAGCAGGAACTCTCTTTTTTTTAAGACCTGCTGCTGTGATCCTGTTACTCTACTTCTCATAAACCTAGAGTGATTCCCAATTACTTTCCATGTCAAAATTGTGCATTTTGCTAGAGGGTCCTCCTGACCCTCCTCCCCACTAGGCTTGCAGCATTTAAATTTATACTTTTAGGTTGAGCAGAAAACTCTATCCTTCCCAAATGCTCCCTTATTCTATGAACTCCCTAGTTTTCTCCCTTAAATGCACAGCTCCAGGTTCATCTCAACCAGGATGCCTTATTAGGCTATTCCAGTCAGGCTAGCATCTGCTATAACTCTCCATTCATGCCAGCTAGTATTTACTAAGTACTTGCTATAGGCAACATGTCTTTATATGTGTTATCATGTTTAATCTCTACAACATGTGAGGTTGGAATTTTTTATCTCATTTAAAGATGAAGAAATTGACATTTAATGAGGTGACATAACTTACCTAAGATTACAAAATGAGTAAGTGGGGCTGGGTCAGATTATGCAGGAGTTGGAGAGGCACTGTGGGACATCGGTTTACAGTGAGGTGGGTACAGGGTTGTCAGAGGACAATTTGCAGGATTCCTCTGTATCTCTGCAATAGAATCTGACAGTGTGTCTTCTGACAATGTATCTCTTTTATAAAAAGAGGCAGGTGGAGAGAGAACCATCCTACAGTAAGTAGAACAGACTGCCTGCAAATGAGTGAGCTCCCAGCCCTGAAGTGTTCAAGCAGGGGCTAGATGGCCATCTATAAGGAATTCTTGCCCTGATGGGGCAGTTGGACTGCATGACAAGGTCTAGAGTCCTTTCCAATTCTGAGTTTCTGGTGATCTCATAATTATATTTATTACGTGTCTAGGACAGTGCCATGCACTGTGGGTCCACAAATATATAAAACAGGGCCATTGCTCTCAAATTGCGTATGACTATAATTAAAGGGGTAAGATATCTAACACAATGTAAAGAAGACTGTTTAATTCAGAGCTAAACTGAAACATACAGATTCTAAGTACATTAAGAGTTTAGATTGGGGCAAATCAGACGTATATGTTATATTTTAGGAAGGCAGATTTCAAGATATTCAGAGAAAATGAATTTTTATATCTAAGAGAAAGATAGTTCAGGCTTGGCTCAAATGAGACATTCAGAAACGATTTTGTGATAATTCAACCCAAAATGACCCTTATGAAGAAGAGGTCACACAGGAACCACTTTGATGAGCTCATATGTGTATAAGGCAGAAAGGAAGCCACATACCAAGGATGACTATAGATGAGGGGTGCAGACACCGCTCCAACATCTGATAATCTACCATAGCAATCCCCAAGTGTCAGGTGCTTTACATAGACTGGCTTGTGCACCCCGTGAGTAGGAGGCTACCTCTCTATCCTTGTTTTGTAGGTGAGAATGAAAGCTCAAATAGGAGGTCAGCTTTTCTGGCCCCACAACCCCTCTACTTTTTAGTCCACCATGCTGCTTCTCCTCAAAATGTGAAATGTGCCAAGGCTCAGAGGAAGAAAGCATAAGAAACAAGGAAGACCCAGGTCTGTTACCACATAATGGTGAGGAAGCTGAAAAACTCAGGGTTTCAGTTTGCCCAGCTAGAAAGAGTGTGATAATCATCCTTGTTCCAGCTTCTTTATCAGCCAGCTCTATGACAAGGAGCAAACAACTTACCTCTCTGTACTTGAGTTTTCTCATTGGTAAAATCGGGGCAGTGGTGCCTGTCCTGTCTACTACACTATGTTTTCGTAAGGATCAAATGAGATAATGTAAGTTTACACTTTTTTTTTTTTTTTTTGAGATGGAGTCTCGCTCTGTTCCCAGGCTGGAGTGCATCAGCGTAATCTCGGCTCACTGCAACCTCCACCTCCCAGGTTCAAGCCATTCTCCTGCCTCAGCCTCCCGAGTAGCTGGGACTACAGGTGCACACCACCACACCCAGCTAATTTCTGTATTTTTAGTAGAGACAGGGTTTCACCACGTTGGCCAGGATGGTGTTGATCTCTTGACCTCATGATCCTCCCACCTCAGCCTCCCAAAGTGCTAGGGTTACAGGCGTGGGCCACCATGTCTGACCAAGTTTACGTTCTTTAACAATTCTTAAATATTGAATAACTGTGAAGAGTTTTTAATTAAAAGAAGCATCAGGTCAACAGAGCCATACTAAAAGCTTTCTGAATTCTTCATGTAATGCCTTAAGTAGGTAATAATACCTTTTTTTGACATATGATAACAATGATAATGGCGGCCACATAGCATAATGATTAAAAAATGGGCTTCAGAGCCAGATTGCCTAGGTTTGAGGCCGGGTGCAGTGGCTCACACTTAAAATCCCAGCACTTTGGGAGGCTAAGGCAGATGGATCACTTGAGGTCAGGAGTTCGAGACCAGCTGGCCAACATGGTGAAACCCTGTCTCTACTAAAAATACAAAAACTACCTGGGTGTGGTGGCAGGCACCTGTCATCCCAGCTACTTGGGAGGCTAAGGCAGGAGTATAGATTGAAACTGGGAGGCAGAGGTTGCAGTGAGCCGAGATCTTGCCACTGCACTCCAGCCTGGGTGACAGAGCAAGACTCCGCCTCAAAAGCAAAAACAAAAACAAAACAAAAACACAACAG